TGGAAAAGTTTGTTCCCAGAGGCTGCACTCGCTCTCGGATCTGGACCCTTTGCCAAGAAAAATAATCAATATTCAAACGGTGGTTCTTCTTCAGCGCATCCTCAACCAATTGTGTACGTCCCTGTGCATTATCCATATGCTGGCAATTATTATGGGTGTCAATACGCTGGGAACTTTTATAGTGGTTATCAGACAACGCATGAAACTGGTTGACAGAGAGCAACTATTAAAAAGAGTTCTTCATCGTCTTCTTCTTCAGAGGACGAGTGCGAGGCATTTGGAGAAATCAATGCAAAGTCGAAAGGTTCACCTCCAACCGATCACGCCGATGAGTTGGGACCAACGCAAGGGGCGCAACCAAAAAGTTTGGCACTCAGCAGCAAGAAACGTTGTTGGGCGGATAGTTCGCAAGATGGGGATTTGTTAAGCCCGCGCAGCGAGTGCCCAATGCCACCTCCTCCTCCGCAATCCGCCGCTGCCAGTGACATTCCGCATATCGAAAAGAAGAAATACAGTGATATTTGGCTTATCGCGGGAGATGAGGCGCTGCATCCCGGTTTCTTGCAAAGCATTGAAAAGGAATCGGCTGACAACGGTTACGTGCTCGATCGCATCAAGCTGCCGGCAAACATTGTTCTGCACACTGGTGTGGCGTTATCTCACGTGCTGTTATGTTTGGATGCTGGCCTCTTCGGAGAACAAGTCAAGGGCGACGCAAACGTCCACTGCGTCATTTCAGAAGGCTGCTTAAAAACGTGGCCGAGATCATATCAGTCGTCATTCAAAAACAGATAGGAAAACATTAACCATTGTCTGAGGTCCTTTGGAGTGGATGGGAAGTCGACTCGTTGGATGGAGTCAGAGGCAAAGCAAGCGAACTACTCGCGCGAATTCCTGCTGAGAGCTTCCTTGAAAACTTTCATGGTATTAGGAGACGGACCCGTTGGCACTATAGACGTACCTGTTTACAAGGAGAGACTTTGCTGGCTTAAGAAGCGCGTGCTCTCCGAGGACAATCTCATTGAGGAGATTGTTTACGCGAACAATTACACTCCTGACACGGCGCCGAACGGCGTGAGGCTATGGCGCAACCCAGGAAGCGAGACTAAGGATATGTTGCGTGAAATTTCAATCCGATCTGGGACTGGCGCCAATGTGCTCGTAGTTGTGCTTGACCCAGCGGGCAGAGCGCTTTGCCCTAAATGGTAGATTTCTTGGCTTGTATACTGCAACGTGCAATTACCAGAAGTGGTTGTTAGCAGTTGAATCTCTGCTCTCACCTTCTCCTCGTTCTCGCCCCAAGCTGGCTGCTCGCTAGCATTCCGAATGTAGCTGCTAGCTACACCCAAGGTAGCTGCTAGCTACCGCGCGCTTGGATAGCCCGCAGAGGAGCATCGCGAGGAAAAATACACACCTGCGCTTCGCGCTCCATTCCGCCGTCTCCGTGGTGCTCATAGGACCTGCGGTGTTCTTAGTAGTAACAGTAGTAGTAGTAGTAGTAGTAGTAGTAGTAGTAGTAGTAGTAGTAGTAGTAGTAGTAGTAGTAGTAGTAGTAGTAGTAGTAGTAGTAGTAGTAGTAGTAGTAGTAGTACTGGTCGTAGTAGTAGTAGTAGTAGTAGTAGTAGTAGTAGTAGTAGTAGTAGTAGTAGTAGTAGTAGTAGTAGTAGTAGTAGTAGTAGTAGTAGTAGTAGTAGTAGTAGTAGTAGTAGTATTGGTAGTAGTAATAGTGGCAGTAGAGAGACAAGAGGGGTAGACAGAGAAGGAGAGAGAGAGAGAGAGAGAAAAGGGCCGCAGCCACCGGGCTCAAATCTACAAGCCGAGAAGACTAACCAACTGCTGGTTGGTTACGTATGAAAACATTAGGCGCAGCCTCTTCAATGGATTCAAGTGATGGCAACAAATGGAATTGTGGAACGCAAGCCAGAGATTTTGAGAGACTCATATTGACAGATTTGGAACAGCAGCCAAAACCAACCAGTAGCTTTGGACCAATAACAGTGAACGCAGTAGGGGAATTGGACCCAACGGTACCATGGTTGGAACAAGCACAGAAGTTGTATGATGTCACTAATCAGAATTTGAAAGTTTTGTGCGACGCAGGCGCGGCAGGGCCTTTCTATAATGTGTCTGGGTTCAGCTGCAAGCAGTTTTTACCTTTTGACGAATTCGCAAAGGCGTGGAATTACAGATACGGTCCAGTATTTTGGGGAAGCCCCCATTGGGGAAGCGGAAATGATGAGACTACACAGGAGTGGAAGGACTCGGCGCAGTTCAAAACAAACGCATGGGAAAGTATGGCATGGCTAGCGGAGTCAGCGTGCATAATGATGACGTTTCATGCATGCTACAAAGTGGAATTCTGGAATCCAAGCTATTCAAAAGCAGGCTCGGATGCAGACACGCGCGCAAAGCGACAGTTGGTGGTGGCACCAGCGTACTTTAGAAGCTACGCGCCCATAAAATCTGGCAACATATACAGTGAGATTAACTCGTACAGGAACATACCGGTGATGATCGCATTACTGGTGCCGGCTCGTTTCAAAGATCTGATTACCTACCACGACGGCATACAAATTGACGTGGGAATGACAATGTTCAAAATATATCAACACTTGCACTTGCAAGATGAACATGCAATAGAGCTTGGAGGTCAAACATTTCATTATCAATGGAATTGCATTTGGCAAAGGAGGAACTGCTTGAAACGAAAAAAGCACAGCTGCGCATGGAAATGAATGATCCAGTTGCAATGAATGTGGACAGCTCATAATCGTTAGCGCTTGATTTGCGCGTAGAATAACACTCGCAGTATCTCCTCCATCTCCTCTCCGATCTCTTCCTATGCTGGCTGCTCGCTAGCATTCCCAAGGTAGCTGCTAGCTACCACGTGCTTAGATTCCCAGCAGAGAAAACGCGTGTTCGCAGAAGCAAAACAATGAAAATAACATAACATTTCTTTTGATCGTGAAGATTTCCACGCTTTCCGCCCTCTTCCGCCGTCTCCGCGGTGCTCATAGGATCTGTTGTAGATGCAGGCATTGCGGTTTCCTCCTTCTGTATTCCGCAGCAGAGGTAATTTTTGTGTATGTCATCACAAAAGGAATTCCTTTGTATTCCGCAACAAAAGAAATCCTTTTGAATTTCGCCACAAAAGGAATTCCTTTGTCTTCTGTCACGAGAATTCTTTTGTATCGTACCGCAAAAGGAATCCGTTCGTATTCCGCCACAAAGTTAATATTTTCGTATTCAGCCACAAAGGAAATCCTTTTGTATTCCGCCACAAAAGGAATCCCTTTGTATTCCGCCACAAAGGGAATTCTTTTGTATTCAGCTACAAAGGGAATTCTTTTGTATTCAGCCACAAAGGGAATCCTATTGTAATGAATATAGATGCTGTAAACATTGTGTTTTCACAGAGATTCAAAGAATTTCAATAAAAACAATGAAAAACAATTGGTTTCATCTGTGTTTTCACATAGATTCAGAGATTTTTCATTGAAAATATTGTTTTTTCATTGCCAGGCACAGAGATCTCAGAGATTTTAATGATTTTCCAACTATGGAGGATAGTGTTTATGAAATCTCTGTGAAAACACAAGGTTTTCTTTGATTTTTGAATAGAAAACCAAAGAAAACCTTGTGTTTTCACAGAGATTTCATAAAAACTATCTTCCATAGTTGGAAAATCATTAAAATCTATGAGATCTCTGTGCCTGGCAATGAAAAAACAATGTGTTTTATTAAAAATCTCTGAATCTCTGTGAAAACACAGATACAACCAATTGTTTTTATTGTTTTCTTTAAAATTCTCTGAATCTCTGTGAAAACACAATGTTTCAATACCTATACGAATTACAATAGCATTCCTTTTGTAGCGGAATACAAAGGAATTCCTTTTGTGGTGGAATACAAAGGATTTCTTTTTGTAGTGGAGTACAAATAGAATCTTTGGTAACGGAATGCAAAAGGATTTTCTTTTGTGGCAGAATACAAACGAATTGCCTTTGTGATGGATTACTAAGGAATTCTCCAAGGAATTCCTCTTACAAATAAATGCATAGGGAGGGTGCCAAAAAAGCCGCCAGGCTTTTTTTGGCCCCCTCTATGGAGTTTCCATGACCAAGACTGCGCGCAGAGGTCAGGAGCTAGATGCGAGGTGCCTACGCAGAGACAGCCAAGGTCTCCGATCGCAGCGCGTGCTGAGGGAGGGTGCTGAATCGTCGGGGGCGGGTGGGTGGGGGGTACGGCCATCCCCTTCCTCCTGCGCTGATCGATTTGAACGTGGCGAAGCTTCATGGTTTCGCTGGCCCCACGACTGTCGTCTCCTTTCGCGCGAGCACAAGCGTTTTCGTGAGAAGGCTAGTTTCCACGAGTTGGGCTACGCAGGCGCAGAGGATTGAAAATTAGAATGCGCAAGTTGTGGCGAGCGAGGCCCGACTTCAAGTTAGTCTAACAGTCTCTTAGCCTCGCCCTGCTCCTCTTCCTGGCCCTCTTGCTCCTCGTCCCAGTTATTTTGGGAAGAGGAAAATGGGGATGAGCACGAGAACCAAAATACTGCATGAACAATGCAATTCGGAGGCCCGTCCGCGTCGTCCTCATCGCCGTCCGCCGTCCGCCCGAAATTCGCGAAGGACTAGCCGTGTCCTTGGAACCTCTCCCAGGGCCCACCCCAGACAGTGCCCCAAGCCGCACCGCGCTGGCGGCGACGCGATACACTACAGGGACGCCAGGGAATCACCGAAACAGAAACGTCGTCGTCCTCTTCGTCCTCGCATTCGTCCTCATCCTCCTCGTCCCCGTCCTCGCCCTCTTCCTCGACCCCCGAACGGAAACGTCCCCGTCCTCCTCGTCCTCGTCCTCTTCCTCATCATCCTTCTCTTCCTCGTGCCCGCCCTCGTATTCGTCTACAGTATCGTCGTCGTCGTCGTCGTCCTTGTCGTAGTCCTCGTCGTCGTCGTCCTTCGCCGTCGTCGCTATCCAAGTCCAGCCGGCTGGCTGGCCCATTCGATCCAGCGACAGCGAGCCGCCGCTGCCCCACGATCCAACGGCCGGCAGCCGCGCCAGCAGCCGCTCCGCGGCCTCCTCTCCGAAGGGGCCGCACGCCCCTCCTGTTCCTCCTCCTCCTCCGCCTCTTCCTCCTCCTCCTCCTCCTCCCTCGGCCGATCTTGCCCCGCCACCTCCTCGCCCCCCTCATCATTCTTCCAGCTTTCCACCCCACCTCGCCTCCCGCCCCACAATCCCCCTCACTCTCTTCCCTTCCCGTCCCCTCCTCATCCACCTCCGCCTTCGCCTCCCCATCACCACCACTGCTAGCATGACCGTCACCATCACGACCATCACCAACAGTAACACCACAACCACCACCATCACCACCACAACCACAAACTGGTGGTTTCGGGATGCGTTCAAGCGGCTGCGCCTCGCCGAGAGGCGTCCGGGTAAGCCTGGTGTGTCCCAAACGGCCGCCGGAAACCAGAGTCATGCCCCGCAAACCAGACAACTGTGATCATTGAGGGGGCAAGCCTTCCCAGAAAACGGCGAGCCTTCTGAGAAGCCCTCCGACCTCTCCGAGAGGCCCCTTCGTGGCTTCGGGGGAGGCTTCGCGAGCTTCTCCGAAACCAAAAAAAAAGCCTTCCAAGCCCCGCCTAGAAGAAGAAGAAACATAATAATAACAATAATACTAATAATAAGAAACGCATGCATACACATACTATGTTGGAGGTCCGCGCGAATTGCCTGAATCCGCGCCCCAGCCCCCTCCCTGGCGCGCGAAGCGCACGGAACGGCTATGAAGGTGCCGCCAGGGGGTTCTGGCGCATATCCAATAAATCCGCACGAAACTCCGAACGCGCTTGTGTTTATCTTCTTCTAGGCCGACCTTATCAGGAGTCTCGGAAGGCTTCCTGCCTTTGGAGAAGCTCACACAACCTCCTCCCAAGCCGTATGTTCTTCTTCGACCACCCCTGGGGTTTTCTGACTTGTCGGGCGAATGACGGTATAATATAAGTTTGTTCGCCGCGGGAAACGCTTGTCCCGAGGCGGCTGGGATGTTTTTCTTCCCGTCCGAGGCACGTCAGGGTCTATGACGTCCCAGCCGCCCTGGGACAAGAGTCCCCGACGGCGAAAAAATATTATTTTACACCGTCCCGCCGCGGCCGCTGCGGCGGCGACCGCCGTCCTCCACCTGCAGCTCGCTGCTGCCGCCCGCGGCCGCGCTGGGGCCGTGCGCGTCCGCCGCGGTCGCCTCGGCGGCCACCGCCTGCGGCGCCCCCTTCCGCGCGCGGCCGTCGGCACTGCCGCGCGCCCGCTGCCTCACGCTGCCTCGCATCGCGAGTCGTCCCTGCCCCGTCCAACTGGCAGTCCCTCCCCCCCTCATTCCCTCAATCCCGCTCCCGTTCCCGCTCCCGCCCCCGCTCCCGCTCCCCCCTCCCCCCTCCCCATTTCCCTCTTTGCCCCTTTTCCCCCTCCCCCCTCCTCCTCCCCCTCCCCGTGCCCCTCCCCCTCCCCGTCCCCCTCCCCCCTCCCCCTCCCCCTCCCTCCTCCCCTCCCCCTCCCCCCCGTCCACAATTATTCAATATGAAAATCTCCCTCTTCCACTGATGGCGTCCGGGTCCTCCGCGGTGCTTCTTTATAACCCTCCGCGTAGTTTTTTTATACACAGGATCCCCGGGAAATCCCGGGAAACGACTCTCGCTGAGGCGCCGGCGTCATTTTTTCCCAAAGTGCTGCTCTCGTTGAGGCGCCGGCCTCATTTCTGCTCCCGAATCGTTCCGAATCGTGCTCCCGCTGCAGCGTGGGCCTCATTTTCGGATCGGTGTTTGGCCTCCGTCGTTCAGGATGGCGTTCTCGCCCCAGCGCGGGCCTTTTTCTCGCGCGCCCATCCGCCCGCCACCACCGCGCCGCACCGCCACCACCACCACCACCACCACCACCACCACCACCACCACCACCACCACAGCACCACACCACACCACCACCACCACCACCAGCACCACCACCACCACCATCACCACCACCACCACCACCACCACCACTACACCACCACCACCACCACCACCACCACCACCACGACAACCACGCACACACGCACGCACGCACGCACGTGCACCACCACCCACTACGCACGCGCGCGCGGAGCCACAGGTCCGCTACGACACGCATCCGCGGATAGAGAAAATCAGCGCCATGGTAAGGGATGGGAGGGGTAGGACGTCAGATATGACGCGAGCGCACCTAGCTTGCCCCCTCCCCCTCTCCCCCTCCCTCTCCCCCCTCCCTCTCCCCCCTCCCCTATTCCCGTCCCCCTCCCCCCTGCCCCTGCCGCCCCGCCACTGCCCCTGCCCGTGCCCGTGCCCGTGCCCGCGCCCGTGCCCCAGCCCCTCCCCCTGCCCCCCCCCCCCCTGCCCCTAACTTGGTCGGCGCCAGCTACGGCCGCTACAGTTTATAGGCCTTCTTTATATGTTACCACTGTTGTGTCCGCAGCGCTTTCGCCTACTGGCAAATGAAGCAGCACTGGCTTTCTCGGCAAATTCGTAGGGAGGTGCCGTCGGGAAGCGGCTTGATTTTTCTACCTTGGACGTCCCCATGGATCCAGCGTCATCTTCCTCTAGGTCATATCCGCCGAGGTCGTCAACCACCTCGGCGGCTCCTAGGTAATCGGGCGCTGCCTCGGCGACATATTCGCCGCCAGGATCAGGCGCCGCCGCGGCACCACACAACGCTGTCGCGTGACCCCCCCAGTCCCTAGCATGACCGTCGGTGACACCGTTACTGAGCAGTTTTTCCCGCGAGAGAACATAATCGGTATAACCCTTTTTCTGGGCCCAGCCCAGCCCAGTTTAGCCGCCTTGCCTGGCTCGTAAAGTAGGTGGGTGTGTCCTGACCGTCCGGGGTCGCTACGGTTGAGACGCTGCCTCCGCCGGAAGTGTAGATGCTCCTCATACTGTCGCGATAAGCGTCGGTCATCACCTTGTGCGAGTTCAGTTCCAAGGTAGCGCGGCACATGACTGCCTGGAGAAGGGGGCCTCCCACCTCGTCAGCGCCACCCCGGAATGACTTCGCGTTCGACGCCGCGCGTGCCCACCGCTTCAACCCCGCGGGGCTGCCGAGACCTGCCTCGTCTACCTGACCTGAGGCCCCCCTGCCTTCCACGGCGCAAGCCGGAATATTGCCATCGACTGTCAGGTCAAAAAGTCCATCACTGGGCAGCAGTTGGCGCGGTACTCCGGTGGCCATCCAACTGAAGCTGCAGCCGTGGTCTACGCAGAATTCACCAACTGATATCGCACCCGGAGTCTCCGTCACAACGATAGCTGCCCCCATCCGCGCAGCTCGTCGCTGGCGACCCTCGCTGCGCCAAAAGCTCGCGATTGCCCGTCAGCCGCATTTAGGGCGATAGGCGCGCTCAAAGGAGCGATCCTGCACATCGCCGCCGCCTCGCGGAGGAATCGCGCAGCGATCAGTTTGGATCCGCGGCCGGCGTCGGCCGCGAACCTCATCGACTCGCCCCTCACTGCGCCGGTCTTCTGTGCACCCTTGTTTGTTCGATGCTGTTCTCGCGGATGCGGCGACGCGGTCGCCGTCTGAGTCGTAGCTTGCGTCGACGATGTCTCCATCAGAGCGCTGTTCTCAGCGAGCCCGCAGACGCCGCGCGCATTCGTCCATTTTGGCTGCCCCATCATAAACCAGCCTCTGATTCACTTTCTTCTTCTGCTCCCCGACCCTGGCCCACCTAAGTTCAAGCGTGAAGGCGCCCCCAGGTGGCGCCTTAGTTGAAAGGGCCCTGGGGCGCGCGATTGAACGCGCACAAATCATTGGATTCCCAATATGTTTTATATATTTTCTGGGTTGTGCCCCCCCCCCCCCAATTCCCATATGTCCCCGCATTTTCTGGGGAATCGACGATTACTTGTGTCAGTGTGTTTTATCCCCTCCCGATTAATCGCCCGCGGGCCCCCCTTCCGAGAAGCGCGCGGCAAAGGCGCGCTCGGGGCGGGGGTGGAAAGGTCGATGCGGGCCCGAACTCGTCGAGCCACGCAGTTCTTGGCGTCGCCCCCCGGCCCCCCGCTCTGCGACGTCTCCAGAACGGCCCGCGGAAGCGCCGTCATCCCACTGGCCTGGAGGCGCCGCAACAACTGGGCAGAAGGGTCTCATATCACCCCCCCTTGCCCGACGCTGGGGCTGCCCGATCAATCTCCGTCGGGTGACAACCGAGGTCGGTGACCTCGGAATCGCCGACGCCAGCTCCGACGCTCAGTGGCAATGCGCAGAATCCTGATCCGGCGTAGAGAACTGCCGGGGGGCCGCCCACCGACGCGCCCCCCGGCGGGGTGCGACTGCAACGACCCCCTCCTCATGGCCGGCGCTGGCGGAACTGCCGCCGCGCGCCAGCCTTCCGCGTCGCGGGCGCCCCGCAACCCCCGCCAAAAGGGCTGGTCTTGATCGCCAGATGCCTCCAACACTGTTGCTTTTCCTTGTTGTTCCCTTTTCCCTTGGATTCCTCGGGCCGCCTGGCGCCGTGTTCTCCTCGACGTTCTGGGCGGCGGCGGACCGTTGGTCGGGGCCCCCATGGCGCGGGATCTCCTCGCTCTTCTTCTCCATCTCGGCCCCCCACCTGTCGCGCGCGAGCTCCTTTCTCTTCGGCCCTCGATTTGCGGCGCTGTCGGGGGCGTTGATTCCGCGGAAGCGAACAAACGCCCATGCCGAAGGCATAGCGCAATCCGTTCTTCGAGGAATTCGCATTAGATCCTTCGCTCGGGGAACGCTGGCGACCCCCGCCTCCGCCGCGCCCCCGCCTCGGCATTTCCCCCGTCTGTCCACCGCCCTTCTTTCCAGGTTGCTCCTTCCCCCCGTCGCCTTCGCCGCCCCCGCCGCCATTGCCGCCCGGGGCGGCGTCGACCGACGCTGGAACGGCAGGGGCAGCCCCCTCTAGACGTCTGCAGGGGCGCGCGGAAACGTTTACAATCGACGTCCCTGTTCAATGTCTTGCCACCTTTCACGCGGAGCGAGCTTCTCCACCCGCCCCCGGCGCCGCCCCGCCCCCCGCGCCCCCCGTTGGGAAGCCGCGGTCGTTCAACTGTTTGCGCTGAACATCGCGGACGCGTTCGCCTCGGCGCGCGCGTCGGCTGATCTGCGCGAGCAGCCATTCATATGACTTCACACCTTGTCCGCGCTCGTCGCTGCCGTGATCGCACATTGCCGGCGCCGTCGCCATGCTCGGGAACATCTTCATCCGACGACAGAAATGCTCCTCAACGGGCGGTCGGGGCGACCTTTGGGTTTTTCTATTTCATTCAAAACCACAATCCATTCGCCATAGAACAGGTCGTTGTCTGCCGCTTTACCCGAAACGCGGTTCTTGATTCCCATCAAATCCTGACACGTGCGCACCTGACCGCCATCTTGGCGCGTGGTAAGGTGGACTGCAATATGGCTCAAACTGGCACGACCGATGCGACCGTTTTCGGCTTGGGGCCGCGCGGCGGCCCTCTGCTGGAGTTCCGCAGCTAGAATGTGCCCCCCTGAATTGCGCCATTTCCCGATCTCGCTCTGCCAGCATCGCCCCCCGGCCCCCGACCCCACTCAGTTCGACGGGGCGCGGGGCACTTGCGAAGGGGGGCGGAGAGCACTCGAGGCGCAGGAACGAAGAGTTGCAACGCAGGCAGCTATCGAAGCAAGCCCCGCAAACCGCCACCTCGAATTGCCCGCGGTTCCCTGGGCATCGACGTTGGGGGAACTCCGCGCAGTCAAGCCATCTGTTGAAGCCTTTAACGTTGATGCGATAACTCGACGCGTTCGAGCGGGCAGTGAGGGCGGGCGCAAGCGACGCCCCCGATGAAGCCCGCGGGCGCCGACGCCTCTCGGGCCCCCTTCCCCTGGCCCCTGGGGGCCACGTCCTCAGCGCAGCTGTCCGAGTAGCATCCGACCCGAGAAGGGCGGGGTGCCAGGACCGGGGGCGCTGCCCCCGGGAACGTCCACTTGTTCAAGGTCGCCCTAGATGCCTAAAACGTCGTCATCCCCAGTCCGCCATATCACTGGGGACCTCATTGATAGGCTGATCGCCCCTGTGGGTTGCCCAGCCGCGGGAGTTCGCGACTCCGGCGCGTCGCTGGGCGAAGCGAAGGACGGGTGCGCATGCCCATCTCGCAGGGAACCAGAATCCCACGACATTTCTTGCACCGACTTGGGCGAATCCCGCAGGCCACTAGCCTCGGGGTGCCCTCCCAAATGGTAGTGCGGGGGCATCGAACGAAAAGCCGAAGTGATTGGGTCACTTTCTTCGGACGATATCGGGATGGGAGCGGCGCCGCCGTCTGCTTCATCTGCAGCGCTTGGCGACCTCGCATAAGGGATGTCATCCCTTGGGAGGGGACGCCGTTGATCACGACTCGTCTCGAACCACGCGCCTTCGTCGTAACCGGCAAAGTTTTCACCCGCTCTGGGTGTATACAGCCGTCCTGGTTCGTGGTCGTTGTCAGAATATTCCACCGATGCGGGCGTGCTGGTGCTGACGCTTTTTGAGCTGATGCATAGGTCCCCGACGCCGTCAGGGGGCAGACAAAAATCTCACTCGCTTTGCTTGCGCCGTGGCTTCGTTCGGGAGTTCTGAACACGTCGTCTTCCACGCCGGAAAGCACTGCCTCCGGGCCTCGTGGAAGAGCTGTTGGCAGATAGCCAACGTTTGCTTATCTATCGTCACATTCGGCAAAGGCTTGTCCAGGTTACTCGGCTAACGATGTCTTGTGCATGATATGTGTGTCCTTCGTTCTGGGGATGTGGTGAGATCCTGGCGAACCGACGACGTGCCCCTGGCCATGGCTTAAGCTGTCCGTTCAGCGGATCTGCTAAAGTATGTGTCATGTGTAAGCCCGCCAGCCGGAAGAGAGGGATAGAGGTTGGGCGCGCGCGCAAACCTTTTCAACAGATAGTGGGTGCAGCGGAATCGATCCCTCAGCCTCCATTCCTATGCATGTCAGAGCTATATTGTAGGGGGCGCGCATGGCAGCTTAAACAAGCGAGGAGGGGAGCGTTAGTAATGTCTGATTTGTCGTGCGAGGATCTTGGAGAAACATCCATTGTGATTGGCATTCCTCCCCCACGGGCACGGGTCTGGGCGAAGAGGATAATTAACCCTGTCGAAGAGAGGAGTCAGCAGTTGGCCGGCCGGCATCCACAGCACGTTGCGGGGCAAGAAGCGCGGTTGCAGCCCCAGGAGCACGGTGCGCCAGCGGCTCTGGGAAGGATCCGACGGTTCGAACGTCCATCCCCTGGTCGTCGTATGATGTGCCTTCCCAATCCACTGTACAATCGTCTGCCCGAGGCTCCAGTCAGCGTCGAGACCCGGCGGACGGGCGTCGTCGTCGGCGTCGTCGTTTCGTATCGCTCTCTCTCTTTCTGTTTCGTCCTCGTCGTGCTGCTCCTCCCACCGTCCGCCTCCTGCTGGAAGGCCAGCCAATGCCATCCTCCTCCTCCTCGCCCCGCGCCGTTTCCCCGTCCCATCAGCCCCGACTCCTCATCATATTGCTCATCCTCTTCCTCCTCCTGATTATGTGTCCCTCCTCCTCCTCCTCCTCCTCGTCCTCTTTCTCCTCCTCCTCCTCCTCCTCCTCCTCCTCCTCCTCCTCCTCCTCCTCCTCCCCCGCCTCGTCCTCCTCCTCCTCCTCCTCCTCCTCCTCCTCCCCATCACCGCCACCACCAACATCATGATCAAGCTCCTCCATGTCCCCCATCCACCCCGTTCCCCCGTCCTCCCTTTCTCCTCTACCTCCCCCTCCCTCTCCCGACCTCCCCCTCCCTCACCCGAACCTCCCCCTCCCTCACCCGAACCCCACCCCCGTGTTGTACCCATCCTCCTTTCCCTCCTCCCCCTCCTTCTCCCCCCCCCCCCCCACCTTTACCTCATCCCATGTGCCTCATCGCCCCCTTCCTCGCTATCCCCCTCACACCGCCACCTGGCGACGCCGACGCCGACCACACCGACGGCTGTGACGCAGTCGTCAGCGACGACGACCCCAACATCCACCCATGTGCTGTTTCCAGCCCGCGCGGCCGCCTCGAGGGGCAGTCTTTCTCGGACCCCTTCTTGACGGCCATAGGGGATCTGAGGACTGGGCCCAGAAACCGAGAAATCGAGGAACCGCGCTGCAGTCGCGAAAGCACATCCTCGGAGACCTGGGGACGACAGCGAGGGCAAGGACGACGAGGACGGAGAAGAACGAGGACGAAGACGACGAGGACGACGAGGACGAAGACGAGGACGAAGACGAGGACGAAGACGAGGACGAAGACGAGGACGACGAGGACGAGGGCGACGAGGACGACGAGGACGAGGACGACGAAGACGAGGACGAGGCGGCCAATGCTGGCCGGGCCACCCGTTCGGCCCACGGCGGCACCAGCACGGCGCGCCCCCCGCGCCGACACACGCGCAGGCCGTCGACCTCGAGCAGCTGCCGGGACCGCAGCCTGCGGCGGCCGCCCGCGGCTCTCGACGCTGGAGAGGAGGGGGGACAGAGGGGAGGGGGAGGACGGGATCGATGCGAGCCCAAGGACTATATTTCCCAAACAGGAAGCAACCGAACACATACGAGCGACGAAGAGCAACGGGTCTTACGCGAGGCGACACAGCGACCTTACGCCGCGGCTTACGCGGGCCGCCAACATGGCAAGCCACAGTGGAAACGAGGGCGCTTGACCTCACGCGGGCGGCTTACGCGCCAATGTCGGTGAAGACGATCCCGATGTTTGCGCCTTGAGGCCAGGAGCCAATGTTCTTGAACACCCCGAGATGGCCGGAGGCGCGTCTCTCGACCTCACGCGAATGGCGGAATGAGCGAGGTGCGGGGAGGACCCTAGGAGGGGTTGCGAGGGCTCCGAGGCAGGGGTAGGTATGAAAAGCGCGCTGGAGAGAAGACGTGCACAAAACACTATTGAAGACCACGCTGTGGATCTCACACGCCGTACCCGGTGGGGCGGCGGCCGGGCGGCGGATCGCTTCGCTCATTCCTCCGGCCCATATTCCTTCGCCGCTGTCGTTTGTCGGGGTGTCGTTGTCAATGCGGTGCTGTTGGACGGCAACCATTTTTCGGAGGCGGTGGGTGGTGGGTCAGAGGCCTCATGGATGTTGGTTGAGCTCTCGTGGTTGGTGTGGAAAACAGTTTTGAGGCCTCTTGGGGGCCGTGTTGGAATCTCTTGGGGCCTCTTGGGGGCCGCTTGGGGCTTCTTGGGGTGCCTCTTGGGGGGCCCTTGGGACCTCTTGGGGGCCTCTTGGGGCCTCCTGGGGGCCCTTGAGGCATAAGTCTGGACTTTTCAATTCCTGGTCCCCTTTTTGGGCCCCTCTTGGGGCCGTTTTGGGGCCCTCTTGGGCCCTCTTGGGGCCCTCTTAGACAATGCGCCTACTTGCCAAACTAATTTAACACACTCGTCGGTAAGCCATGGATAGAAAAGGTAGAAAAAATGCCGCCAAGTGAATACTCGACGTCCCCAGAGGCGCGATCTACCCCGATACCGTTTGCCAGAAAACCATAAAAGCAAAAATCCGGTGGGCGGCCCCCTCACGGTTCACCACAAAAGCTCACCGCAAAAACTATGTTTCCTGGTGTGTTACACGCGCGAAATCGGCGCATGCGCGTGACCATCCCGTCGCCCCCATATACAGCTTACCCCACTGGAAAAACTGCCGCGTAACCGTTCGACGCGATAACTTCCTGTGCCCTCTTTTGGGGGCGCCTTGGGGCCCCAACAAGGCCCTCAAGATGGCCCTGGGAGAACCACAACAGGGTTCCAAAAGGGGCCCCAATGAACCCCTGGTCCAACTCCGCAGCGTGAAACTCGAATCCATGATCTTAAAGGTTCCAAGACGGCCCCGGAAAGCCCCAGGAAGGTCCCAAGAGAGCCACCAGAGGGCTCCAAGCGGGGCCCTGGTCAGCCTCTGGTAACAACTGCAAGGCGCGGAGTTCGAAACGGTCGCTTTCAGCCCCCTCTTGAGAACCGCTTGAAGCCCCTAAGGCGGCCCCAGAGAGCCCCACGATTGCCCCCCCAAAGACCGCGAAAAGGTTCCGGGAGGGTTCCATGAATTACACCCCCCCCAATCACTACAGCTGGCCTTGATTGGACACGACAAGCCAGAGGACACAAGACCCTTCCGAGGGCCACATTGCCATGGGGGATGTAGGAGGCATGGAGGGCGAGGCACTCGACACAAGGGTCCTAAGGGTACCCTTGATTTGGCAGGGTCGACCTACTAATCAGGGCCAACTGTATTCCGTCCAGGGCGCCCCGCTTCGCTCATGCACGACGGGCCGCTTCTGCTGCAATCCCCCCTTCAGCACGAGGGGACCGCTGTTGCTACAAGTCCGGCTCACGAGCGTTTTTGCTACAGTCCCCCTTCATGCACGATTGCTGCGCTCTCGCTTCAGCGCCCTCTCACGTACGAGGGAATGACACTGCGACGATCCCCCTCGCGAGCACAAGGCAAAATCTTTTGAATGCCCCCCTCGTGGAAGAATGCGCCGTTGTTGTTGCCATCCCGCCGACAAAACATGTAAGAACAGCACGATGATTAATGACGTAGATGTTCACTTGATCTGTCTCGAACTCAGTGGTGAGCAGCAGGTAGACGACGACGGTTGGTACATCATCTTGCCTGGCTCAGTCAAGAGGTTCATTTTTTGTCACACCGCAGAATAGTTAGAGCCATCTCACAGGCAGCCTGGAGCATGCGGACGCGGTCGCCACGATGCCCAGCCTTCACACGAAGGACGGACGTCCAGAACCCTGAGTCGAGTGCCAGTCGATGCTGGATCTCAGAACGTTGTCAGCGAAAATGTGGGCACTCTCCCCACACGTGACGAAACGATGACACCAAATGTCCACAATGTTTGCACGGTTGGCCCGTGCGTCGACTGGTCTCTGACGTAACCGCTCCACTTCGGTATATCGAAATCAGCGTACGGTCTGACTCCTCCAAGGAACCCATCCCCTTCACAACAACAAAAGCAGGTGTTGCTGTCCTCCACGTGCACGAAGAGACGGTTTTTCTTAACTCTAGCACCCCAGAGCAGTTTCGCGACAATCCACCTCGCGACAGAGGACGCACACTCACAACTCGCAACGAGCACCCTCATGTACGAGGGTATACAGGTGCTGCAATCCCCCCTTCGCGAGCGAGAGGCACCATGTTCTCTGCGGGTCCCCTCGCCGCCAAGAGACACTTTTTGCCGCGATCCCCTGCCATTCGCGGCGGGCCGTCTTTATTACACACACACCCATGATGCACGATAGACCGCTTTCGCTGGAGCCCCCCCTCACGCACGAGGAACAACTCTTGCTGCAATACTCCCCCTCATGCACGAGGGACCGCTTTGTTGCATTGCCCCCCGTGCACCAAACACCGCTGTTGCCACAATCCCCGCTCGCGCACGAGGGGCAGTTTTTGCCGTAATCCCTCCTCTCACGCACGAGGGACACCGATTGCGCGCGAGGGGCAGTCCGCGCCAGCCCCCATCCTCTATTCTGGATCATGCCAGAGAAAGCCCCAATCAAATGTCCGAGCGAACGTGCAAAGACATCGCGATGTCTCGGAACCTCTGTGACCCCCCTTCGAGGCCTTCCCGAAGCGCCCGAGACGTCTTCAGGTGGGCCTCAAGGGAGCCATGGGAGTTGCCACTTTCACGGGCGCCCGAACTGTCAGCTCGAAGGGGACTCCCAGGGCTATGTCAAACCTTCTCGGGGCTCTTCTGAGGCTCTCCCGAGGTCACGAGAAGGCCCTGGAAAGCATAGAAAAACACGCGAAGGGTTCCAGAGAGCCCAATGCCAGGGCAGGCGTCCCTACCCAAAAAATCCTGCAAGCCTGTCAGCGGGACGGCTGGGCAAGGGCCAACTCTGGCATTGACGACGGCCGTTTCACGTGGGTCGCCTGTGAAAAATCGAATGCACGCCCTAGCCGAGACACTGGTGCATACTCACAGCTGTAGGGACATTTAAATATACACCGCTTCTGCCATGCACCGATGACAAAAATGCCAGCTGGAAACAATGCTTATCGCATGGGTTCGCTCGCGCGCGCGCGCGTGCGCGCGAGCGAAACATGGCCGAGGTTTGCAACGCCAGGTCGCGCCGCCCCCAATCCCTAGCCCTGCGGTGGAAATCTGGGATTGCGCTTCCAAGGAGCGCGCCTGCGGAAGCCGGCGAACGATCTCGTTTCTGGGAGCAGCCAGGCGCGGCCTGCGGAGGGCCCCCAAGAATGCCCCGAGAGGGCCTTGGGAACTGTCACCGTGAAGGGCGCTAACTACAAGATTCATCTGGGGGCCTTCTCGAGCCCTCGGGGCCGCCTTGAAGCCGCCCCGACGTCTCGAGGAGGCCCTGGGAAGGCCCCGAAGAACACCCAGACGGCTTCAATAGAGCTCCAAAAAGGCCTCGTGAGGGCCTCGAAATGGCTCCTCCAAGATGCTCCCAGCACTGCATCTCGAAAGGCTTCGTGGACATCTTGGAGGGGATTTCTTGGCTCTCGGGCCGTTTGGAAGCTTTCCAGGGGCCCTCCGAAATGTCCTGGGGAAGCCATCGGAGGCATCTAAGAGACCACAACAACGCTTCAAGATGGCCCCAGTAAAAGCCCCAAGACGGTCCCTCCCATAAGCTCCTGGCACTCCGTTTCGGAAGGCTTCACGGAAGCATCTGGGAGGGAACCCTCAGGGTTATCTCGAGCCTCCACGCGGCTTTCTCGAAGCTTCCACAGGGGCCAGAAGGGGGGCCCTGGGAGGCCCTCCAAGACGCCCAGGAAGACTCCAGCGGAGGGCTGATGGTCGAGATTGAGAGGTATGCTCAGCTCACCAGGTGGGTCCCCCGCGTTGGCGCGAGCACTCGCTTTCCCGAGCGCCCAGGGAATAAGTCTCTGGCAACAGTGACTTTGCGATGGGGGATGTAGAAGTTTCCCTGGGACGTGAGGCCATTCTCCGAGTGGGGGAATGATCTGCCCTCCGATTAAGTCAGCGGGGAGGTGGGGGATTTTCGCGCGCCGGCGGAATGGGGGCCAGGGGTGGTGGCAAGTTTCTGGGCCAAGAGGCTTGGCCAGATAGCGTCGGCAACCCTCGAAGTGGGTTCGGGAATTATCGGGCGGTCGCTGGCGGGAGAATGCGAAACGTCGATTCCCCAATCAACGTTTGCCCTGGACGGGTTACCGCGGATAATGAAAAATCCTGCGAAAATGTAATTTTCGGCGCGCGGCCAGGTTCCCGGGCTTCGAGCTCGGACTCTCCAAGGCGGCGCTCAAGGGCCCCAACAGGAGCCCGAGAGGAATCAACATGACATCACGCAGTTGCCCTCTCGCGTGAGATCGTCGTCGCAACTCCGCCGGCACCCTCTCGGACCATCTCGGGGCCCTCTGAGACGGCGCTGGGGGAGGCGCTCGGAGAGCCCTGGGAGGCCTCAGCAGGCCCTAAAGGAGCCAACACGAAGTCAAAGAAAAA